CTGGTTTTTAGAGCTTCTTGCGGTCACGTGATAGCGTGATGACGCGTTTCGCCTGGACGGCTTCCTCAGAGCTCTATGAGTTGTATTGCTGTGGAGCTCTGTGATACTCTTACACACTGCATGTTACTGTGAGTTTTATTGCTGTGGAGCTCTGTGATAGCCTCTTATAGACTGCATATTACTTTCCGTTTTATTACTGTGGAACTCTGTGATACTCCTACAGCCTGCGCATTATTGTGAGTTTTATTGCTGTGGAGCTCTGTGATAGACTCTTATAGACTGCATATTACTTTCAGTTTTATTGCTGTGGAGCTCTGTGATAGACTCTTATAGACTGCATATTACTTTCAGTTTTATTGCTGTGGAGCTCTGTGATACTCTTCCACTCTGCACATTACTGTGAGTTTTATTGCTGTGGAGCTCTGTGATAGACATTTATAGACTGCATATTACTTTCAGTTTTATTGCCGTGGAGCTCTGTGATACTCTTACACACTGCATGTTACTGTGAGTTTTATTGCTGTGGAGCTCTGTGATAGACTCTTATAGACTGCATATTACTTTCCGTTTTATTACTGTGGAACTCTGTGATACTCCTACAGCCTGCGCATTATGTGAGTTTTATTGCTGTGGAGCTCTGTGATACTCTTACAGCCTGCGCATTATTGTGAGTTTTATTGCTGTGGAGCTCTGTGATAGACTCTTATAGACTGCATATTACTTTCAGTTTTATTGCTGTGGAGCTCTGTGATAGACTCTTATAGACTGCATATTACTTTCAGTTTTATTGCTGTGGAGCTCTGTGATACTCTTCCACTCTGCACATTACTGTGAGTTTTATTGCTGTGGAGCTCTGTGATACTCTTACACACTGCATATTACTGTGAGTTTTATTGCTGTGGAGCTCTGTGATAGACTCTTATAGACTGCATATTACTTTCAGTTTTATTGCTGTGGAGCTCTGTGATAGCCTCTTATAGACTGCATATTACTTTCAGTTTTATTGCTGTGGAGCTCTGTGATAGACTCTTATAGACTGCATATTACTTTCAGTTTTATTGCTGTGGAGCTCTGTGATACTCTTCCACTCTGCACATTACTGTGAGTTTTATTGCTGTGGAGCTCTGTGATACTCTTACACACTGCATATTACTGTGAGTTTTATTGCTGTGGAGCTCTGTGATAGACGTTTATAGGCTGCATATTACTTTCAGTTTTATTGCCGTGGAGCTCTGTGATACTCTTACACACTGCATGTTACTGTGAGTTTTATTGCTGTGGAGCTCTGTGATAGACTCTTATAGACTGCATATTACTTTCCGTTTTATTACTGTGGAACTCTGTGATACTCCTACAGCCTGCGCATTAATGTGAGTTTTATTGCTGTGGAGCTCTGTGATACTCTTACAGCCTGCGCATTATTGTGAGTTTTATTGCTGTGGAGCTCTGTGATAGACTCTTATAGACTGCATATTACTTTCAGTTTTATTGCTGTGGAGCTCTGTGATAGACTCTTATAGACTGCATATTACTTTCAGTTTTATTGCTGTGGAGCTCTGTGATACTCTTCCACACTGCACATTACTGTGAGTTTTATTGCTGTGGAGCTCTGTGATACTCTTACACACTGCATATTACTGTGAGTTTTATTGCTGTGGAGCTCTGTGATAGACTCTTATAGACTGCATATTACTTTCAGTTTTATTGCTGTGGAGCTCTGTGATACTCTTACACACTGCATATTACTGTGAGTTTTATTGCTGTGGAGCTCTGTGATAGACTCTTATAGACTGCATATTGCTTTCAGTTTTATTGCTGTTGAGCTCTGTGATAGACTCTTATAGACTGCATATTACTTTTAGCTTTATTGCTGTGGAGCTCTGTGATACTCTTCCACACTGCATATTACTGTGAGTTTTATTGCTGTGGAGCTCTGTGATAGACGTTTATAGACTGCATATTACTTTCAGTTTTATTGCCGTGGTGCTCTGTGATACGCCTACAGCCTGCATATTACTGTGAGTTTTATTGTTGTGGAGCTCTGTGATAGACTCTTACTGACTGCACATTAGTGTGAGTTTTATTGTTGTGGAGCTCTGTGATAGACTCTTACTGACTGCACATTAGTGTGAGTTTTATTGTTGTGGAGCTCTGTGATAGACTCTTACTGACTGCACATTAGTGTGAGTTTTATTGTTGTGGAGCTCTGTGATAGACTCTTACTGACTGCACATTAGTGTGAGTTTTATTGTTGTGGAGCTCTGTGATAGACTCTTACTGACTGCACATTAGTGTGAGTTTTATTGTTGTGGAGCTCTGTGATTGACTCTTACATACAGTTTCTGTGCAATCTGACAATTCGGCAATTTATTTTGAAAAGTTCAGGGTTTATAAAGATATTGTTCCAATAGATATTTGAGTTGCTCAGAATCAAAATAATACTAACCATTCATTGGTTAGTAAGTTATCTTTCAAAACACACACTTCTGACGTATACCATGTGTAGTTTTTGCCAATTTGTATAAAGTTTAACCCATTAATTGCAATTGACCAAATAAACTCTTAATACTCCTATGTTTATACTTTTATCACTGTAAACTTATCACACTGCACTCGAAACATTCTGCTCTATCTTTAGATATATCTATGTTAATGGAATCAGTTAAATATCACTTATTTACAGTTTGTTCTTGTAGTGTGTTTACAACTAAAGTCTCGATATTATGAGTTACTGTACTCGAATGTTGTGGCAGAGGGATACGAGATAAAAGAAGAGACACGTTTATCTGAGGTTATATGAGGGTATGTTTCTTGGCGAGACGTGACTAAGCATATTTATTATTTTCATTTGAACACATATTATGTTTATATCATTGAAGTGGCATCATTTTAACCATGGTTTCCTAGCACACAATATGCTGTATCAGGTTCACATTGTCTAACAATTCTACTAAATAATTCTCGCTATATAATCACAATTCATGAAATTACAGAAAGAGTGGATGGATTGCATTGCAGGAGAAACTGTGGCAATCAGGTAGTCTGACATAAAGTCTACAACACAACCGAAACATGTACTTGAAAACCAGGGTAATCTGAATGTACCTTTCCTGGTTAAATACTTTGTTATTATTATTATATACCAGGCGATCTCCATACAGGTAGGGAGGCTACCAGATAAATGTAGGGTGGCCACCGAATAACTTTTAGGGAGGCCACCAAATATATGTATGGAGGCTACCAGATACATGAAGGACGGTCACAAAATACCTTTTAAGGAGGCTGCCAGATACATGTATAGAGGCCACCAGATACATGTATAGAGGCCACCAGATACATGTGTAGAGGCCACCAGATACATGTATAGAGGCCACCAGATACATGTATAGAGGTTACCAGATACATGTATAGAGGCCACCAGATACATGTATAGAGGCCACCAGATACATGTATAGAGGCCACCAGATACATGTATAGAGGCTACCAGATACATGTATAGAGGCCACCAGATACATGTATAGAGGCCACCAGATACATATGTAGAGGCCACCAGATACATGTATAGAGGCTACCAGATACATGTATAGAGGCCACCAGATACATGTATAGAGGCCACCAGATACATGTATAGAGGCTACCAGATACATGTATAGAGGTTACCAGATACATGTATAGAGGCCACCAGATACTTGTATAGAGGCCACAAGATTCATGTATAGAGGCCACCAGATACATGTATAGAGGCTACCAAATACATGTATAGAGGCTACCAGATACATGTATAGAGGCTACCAGATACATGTGTAGAGACCACCAGATACATGTATAGAGGCTACCAGATACATGTGTAGAGGCCACCAGATACATGTGTAGAGGCCACCAGATACATGTATAGAGGCCACCAGATACATGTATAGAGACCACCAGATACATGTATAGAGGCCACCAGATACATGTGTAGAGGCTACCAGATACATGTGTAGAGGCCACCAGATACATGTATAGAGGCTACCAGATACATGTAGTGAGGCCACCAGATACATGTGTAGAGGCTACCAGATATGTAGTGAGGCCACCAGATACATGTGTAGAGGCTACCAGATATGTAGTGAGGCCACCAGATACATGTGTAGAGGCTACCAGATACATGTATAGAGGCCACCAGATACATGTGTAGAGGCCACCAGATACATGTATAGAGGCCACAAGATTCATGTATAGAGGCTACCAGATGTGGCCATGTAGTGAGGCCACTTGGTACTACAGGGAGGATACCAGATATGTAATGAGGCCTCTAGCTCACCTCTAGCTACATGAATGGAGGCGACGAGGAACATTAGCCGATAAGTGGCTTGATTAACCTCGCAGTATACCAAATTGGTTTCTATACTCTATTCTATAATATATTGTATGGCAGGATCCTGTGAATTACCCACACAGCTGCTCTGTGACACACGAGGCAAACAGTGAGGCAAGGACAGATAATTTGCCTTGGAACTAATTACACTTCGTTACCTCCTGATTTCCTGCCCAATGTAAAACGACATGCAAAACTGCACTGACATGTAGACAGATCAGTACCAGGCAATCTGCATCTTGGCACTGCAGAATGGAATGTGAAATTGGGGAAAATGTAACGTGATATTTCAATCCAAACACTGAGACAGGTGTACAGCTACCTGTCTCGCTAGCCTTTAAATGATAAGCATTGTTAGCAAACAGGTAGTGTCATGATGCCTCATATCTAAATGACATGACGTTATGAGACCAGATATAATAAACCATTGAGCCAGATTTGCATTCATTGATATCTCCAGCATTGTTTGCTGTCACAATGTCTTGTTATATTAAACCTTTTGCTGAGTGTAGTTTTTTTTTTTTTTTACGGTAAACAAACACTGCACTGTATAAACATTATGTAACAATGTACAGTGCTCCAATTAACTTGCAGGACTATTTAAACTGTCAAAGTACAAAGTTTGAGAGACACTCTGTCCCACCCTGCCTGGTTTAGTCGAGTGATCTTCCAAGTCAGACAGACCAACCCCACAGAAAGAAAATTTCCTGCTCCCAAGCACTCCCAAGACATTTGTGTTCTATTCACAAAGAGAGAGTGTGAAGCAAGCTATTGCTAACAATATGGCGTGTATGGATATACTAAAGAGTGCCCTTCTGGCTGTGATATTTGTCATATATCTGGTGTTTGGGGCATTTGTTTTCCAAAGACTGGAGAAGGAAGCAGAAGATACTGCAAAGTCCAACACATATCTACACAGACTGGATTTCCTGAAAAACTACACGTGTCTAACCCATGAAGCCTTGGATCAACTAGTTAACGTAAGAAAAAAGGCAAAAAAATTAAAAATTGTATTTCTGAGTGTGAGTGAGCCTAGAATCTGATTAGAATTATTGTTGGGATCTGTCATTGTTTAAAAGATAAAGTGAGAGATTTATCAAGGTAAAGCCAGAAGCTAGACTTGGGCAAAGTGCTACATAAGCAGCAATCACCATGGAAACCAATAAAATGTATCTTAACATTTAGCACGTTGCATCTGGAATGGTACTTTGTATTAAGGATAGCACATACTTAGCCTAGATAAATCTCCGGCAATGTAGGTAATAAGTAAAGCAGAGACAATGTACATAATGTTCAATATGCAAAATATATTGGAAACCTTTACAAATACTAAGACGTTGAGAGAGATTGACTAAGCATCTGTTTTTGGCTACTTAATAGAAACAGGACATTTGTTTTTGCTTAGCTAGAATGACATTGTGACCTTGTTGCTAATTTTATCTGAGAAACATAAAATACATATTTTTATGGCTGCACTGGCTAAACTTAAAGGAACACTCCACCTACCATAACCACTACAGTTTGCTGTAGTGTTTATGGTGCAAGGTGTGTCCTGGAGCCCTCCCAGAATAAGTAGTCAAACCATTTAAGAATGGTTTAACTACTTACCTCGGTCTTACTGGGTGCCCACTACTGACTCCCCTGCCACTAACCTAAGCTGCCACTGACAGCATAACTCTTTCAGGTGCTTCTGGCAGTGGGGGAGGTGATGTCAGAAGCCCAGTGGGACACAGGTAACTTGTTAAGTCTTTCTTAAAAGGTTTTATTATATAATTCGTGAGGGTCCCAGGGCACCCCTGGGAGCATTATTACTAAAATGGGCTGTAGTAGTTATGGTTCCTGAGTGTTCTTTTAAGGTTGCGACAGATCTCTAAGCTAGTTGAGTTAGTACATATCTATTTTTGATAACAATAGTGATAAATGTAACAATGTGGTAGACCATTTTAATTGAGGTTATTAATAGGTTTTGGGGAGCTAGTGGTTAGAAATCACCCTATGCAGAGGGAAGAGGGGCTGAACAGCTTTGGTTATCTGCTGGATGGGGGATTATTTTATAAGTAGGAGTACTCCTGGTTCATTGATCACTGGGGCTTGGGACCTACTTAGCAACTATTGTTATTATATTTCCCTCTCAGAAATCAGTGGGTGGAAGAAGGGGTAGGGGTCCTTCACCTGGTATTAAGTCTTTAGAAGATGGTATTGAAGGAAAGGAATATCAGTGGTCTCTAAAGGGACACTGTAGGCACTGTAACTGCTTTATCTAGTTGAAGTGGCTATAGTGTCTGAGAGTCCCCTGGAACTGTAGCTCTATTCAGCGTAAACACGTTTTCATGTTTTAATGCAACTACCCTTTGCCAAGTGTTGTAAGGTAAACGGTACGTCTGCACTGAACACCTTTTTTCTTGGATTATTCTATTGCATTTTAAAGGACCACTATAGTGCCAGGAAAACATACTCGTTTTCCTGGCACTATAGTGCCCTGAGGGTGCCCCCTCCCGCCCGGCTCTGGAAGGGGGAAAGGGGTTTAAACTTACCTTTTTCCAGCGCTGGGCAGAGAGCTCTCCTCCTTCTCTCCTCCTCCGTTCCTCCTCCTGGGCTGAATGCGCACGCGCGGCAAGAGCTGCGCGCGCATTCAGCCCGTCGCATAGGAAAGCATTTACAATGCTTTCCTATGGACGCTTGCGTGCTCTCACTGTGATTTTCACAGTGAGAAGCACGCAAGTGCCTCTAGCGGCTGTCAATGAGACAGCCACTAGAGGCTTTGGGGGAAGGCTTAACCCATTAATACACATAGCAGTTTCAGCTGCTATGTTTATTAAAAAATGGGTTAATCCTAGCTGGACCTGGCATCCAGACCACTTCATTAAGCTGAAGTGGTCTGGGTGCCTAGAGTGGTCCTTTAAGTGTATCTTTGTGACTGTAGACTTTGGTGTTACTGTAGCAGCACTATTATTAGCGCCATCTATTCCTTCTTTTTCTGTTTCCACAGTGCTTTAATGAGTCCAGCAAAAAGATCCATTGCATTGTTAAATACAGGCAAGAGGATCTCCAGGAAAGAAACATCTAACAGTGCACTATTGTAAAGTAAAATCAATATATACTGAACAGTACTACACTATTATTGGTTTCTCTTTTATATGAAAGTTAAAGTTTAAACCAGTTTAAAAATATTCATTAATTCTGCCTGTGTTTATTTTCTGTGATGTATCAGATTAATGTCATAAATGGTTCCTGTTTTTGCTTTGCACCAAATTCAATGTACTCTGTTTAGATCAACTAAAGTTTTTATTTATCAACTTTAATTCCATGTAAATAAGTTTGTTGCTCGACCCACAGACATGTATCTATTTATAAGGGGAAAAAATGACTGTGTGTAAGGAACACCATCTGGTATTATCTCTTCCTATAAACAAGATAAAATGATATTATACTGTTTGGATATCGGTACACGCCAGGTCTATGTTTGCCTTAATAAATATTTATTTTTATGACCAGGTTATTGGAGATGCAGTTAAACAAGGGATAAACCCATTGGCCAATTCAACCGAAAACAGTCACACGAACTGGGATTTCAGCAGCTCATTTTTCCTGTCTGGCACTGTGGTAACTACAATAGGTAACTAAATTTGGGGTAATCTGCACAGATAGGTGAAAGTTGCACACTATGGCCCGCACTACAATTTGGTTTTGGTAACTGGTAGGGAACACTTCCTGACCTTCTGATTGTCCTCAAAGATCATAATTCCAATTTCAACAATCTTTTTTTCCACATTTTGTGGTGACTAAGTAATAAAAGTTAGCATCTTAAAACTAGACCTAAACTATGATTTCACTGTTTTCAAACTGCCAGGTGTATAATCATGTTAATAGGCGGCACGCCTATTATGTTTAATATCACAGTTTGTGTGTTTCGTTAAGGTACCTCTAAACAGACATTTTTATGTTTTCATTTTTGCTATCTTGTATTTTATTTACAGTGCTTATTTGTCCTTTAATCAGTTTAATTCATAAGTGAGTAATTAAAGGGAGTTTAGAAGCACCAATACAACTTTAGCTTAATGAAGCAGTTTTGGTGTATAGCTCATGCCCCTGCAGTCTCACTACTCAATTATTTGCTGTTTAGGAGTTAATTCCCTATGTTTATACAGCCACAGGCACAACTCCCAGGCTGAGGCTTACACAACCTCCTTACACACTTCCTAAAAATGGTCTGATTATTTTTTAGCTTCCCTTTTTGCACAGTGTGTTTAATTTAGAGTTTCCTACCCCTTGTTTTGTTAATTGCCTGCTAGAACCTGCAACAGCCCCCTTTGTTGATGTTGGCTGTGTGAGTGTCAGACAGTGATGTTTGACTAGGGCTGGATAAAGAAAGTGACTTAACACCTAAAAGGCAGTGAACTGAGCAGGGAGACAGCAGGGACATGATATCTCTAGGTTTTTGATGGTCGCATGAAAGTGTTTATTGATCTTTTAGTGACAGGGTTCTAATTGAGGAAACATGCATTTGTAAAGAGGTACTCACAGTCAGACAGACAGCCGGGGATGCTATTTTCCCTATTCCATTAGTTCTTTGTGAAGTGACAGACACACTCTGCTACAGCACACCTGCCTTCTCTCCCACCTAAATGCCCGTTTGCACTTTAGCCCCTCACAGGCTTCCAGTCTGGGACTCCCTGAGTGGCAGCACAGAGAAGTTGGGCTGAAAGTTATGAATGTGTTGCTCAAAATCAGACATTTTTTCAGCGAGAAGCCTCTGGATTGGTCATTGCCCCGGCACTGACTGACAGTTTATGCTGGGGAAAAAGGGAAAAGCTGGTTTTAGATATATCCACAATGTAAAAATGTATAATAAAATGCATAGGTTTTCTTTTGGTGGTTATCTACTAAATAGTGTTAAACATTTTTCCATTGGAGCTTTTCTGCAATATATTATACAGGACCCATCTTCATTAATCTGATAATGGTTAGAGTGATGTTGAAAATTATCAGAATGCTGGGATTGTGATAACGCCAGTAATGCTAATGGCTCATTGGCAGCAGTTAACATTGAGATACGTATTGACTGTGTGACTGCAATTTCCCTATTTTTATTGGCCAAGCTTGGCAGTAAAGCATGTTTATTTAGGACAATGTGTTCAGTCGTCACACGGCCTCTTAATGTTGTCATACAATGGCGCAACTATTTCTCTTATTGCTACAGAATCACTCAGACTCGGCGAGGTGGTGGCAACTTTATTACCACAGTAATTGAATGTGGAGAAAATGAGAGCTCTCCTAAGCAGAGTCCTGTAGTTATGGTGCCAGGAGAGCTGGCTCCCCCCAATTTAAATAGTAAAAGCCTTTTAGAACAGTCCGACTTCTTACCTTGCACCCAGCCACCTTTACCTGGTGGCACCACGCCTCCACTACCAATGATAGAAAGCTACACTAAGGCCCGCAGTGCAGATTAACTCACTGTGTATATTGCAGATTTATTACAAACATTATTTTCTTAAATGGTTGGTGTTACGCCAATCACAAAACCGTAACATATTAATTGTAATACATTCACTTTATTTACTGTCTTCACATCTTGTAGGATATGGCACGATAGCCCCCCGAACGGCAGGCGGACAAATCTTCTGCGTGTTTTATGCCTTGTTTGGGATTCCATTAAATGTAATTGTTCTAAGTCAAGTTGGTAAAAAACTGTCCACGTGGTGCAAAAAGTTGGGAAAGTGCTTATTTAGTAGAGGAGTGAAAAAGGTAAGGGAGCTCAATTTTTTTTTACCATTTATTGGAATAATTTATTTCCTTTAATTTTATTTACCTTAAATGGAAGTATCATTAAAAATAGATTTCTAGGTGGTTAAAATTATTTACTGAACTATAATCGTCTTATGTAAGTATGGGGTTAATTTACTAGAGCCTGACATTTTATTCCTTATAAGGAAACGCGAAAGGCATCGATTGTTTTCTTATGTGTTTTTAGCTTGTATGGTGACACGTTCTCTTTATTGCACTTTTAATTATGTAATAAAATAATAAAAAACTTTTTTTATTGTGTGGCAGACTCTATATTCTGTGTATTATCCCAGTGCAACTCAAAAATGTATATCAATTGCTGATCAAACTAATTTTATCTCATAAACCTTACCCGAATAAATTGAACTATTTTCGTTTTCCAAACAAACAAATATAACTCAAAGTGTTTAGTTTGTGTGTATTGTTTTTGTGTGTGTTGGCTATATAAGTGCTGTAGCTGTGTGTGGTAGATGTGTGTATTGCAGCTGTGCGTGGGTAGCTGCATGTGATGTGTATGTGTGTGGTTATTTGTGAGTGATTCTGTTTTCTTTTGTTTTTGTTTTTTTGTCTGTATCTCAAACTATTTTGTATAATGATGTGTATTTCTTTCTTCTCCAGAAAACGGCAAAAATTCTGACAATAATATTTTTTCTGGTGATTGGAAGTATTGTCTTTATGACGATACCTCCTTTTGTTTTTTCATTTACCGAAGGCTGGAGTTACCAGGAAGGCATTTACTACGCATTTATTTCACTCAGTACGATTGGCTTTGGTGACTATGTAGTTGGTTATGGTATGTATCTGTCTCTAATGTTGCTAATGGTAAGATCAAAGTCACATTATTAGAGCCGACTCACCTTACCATTCTTTTCAAACCAGGTACAATGTTCAGTCACTTTAACCCTGTATATATTTTTGTTGGCCACTTTGGTTTCTAATTTCAGATGACACAGAAATATCCAACAGGAAATTGTCATATAGAAAGTGCATACAAGATTGAAATCCCAAAGGGTTTAAAAACTGTTCTTAATTAGGAGGGAAAGAATTTTGGGCCCAAATCCCTCTGTCCCTATGCAGCCACCTTAGGTCACCAAATGGTTAAACCAGCTATGAGATAGGGACTCTATCATGAGAAATCACACATTACATTTTATATGAAGACATCAATATCTTTTTATTTTTTTTTATTTTTTTTAGAGTCGAATAGCCACCGCATGTTTCCATTCTTTCGTGTGTTGGTGTGCTTTTGGATAATGTTCGGATTGGCATGGCTTTCACTTCTCATTAATTTATTAACTTCATTGTTAGAAGATACAGAAAAGAAGATAGTCAAAAATTTTCACAAAAAGGTAAAACAGCACAAAGCGCATGAAGAGACCCACTTGGAACCAGTCCACACAGATCCGGAGGACGCCAAGGTCTTGATAATGGATAACGGCAAGAGTTCCAGCAGGAGATCGAAAATGAGTGACAATGACACCAGTGAGGTGTAGAGCTTAAACAAATATCTCTATTCTTTATCTGAACTCCACACCAAATACAATTCACAGGAAATTTTATTTTAACAACTGTAAGGTTTCCTGCATTGTATCTCCTTACCTGTACATCATTGTTGATGAATCTCACCTTGGGAGAGGAAAAGATTGAAGAATGTTATCAGGGTCAGTATGTCTGTAGGTACAATCTAGGTGATTTGGTTTTCCACTAAACAGTGAAATATGATTTACAAAAATTAATATCTGAAAAATTAAAGTGGACCTGCCACTTGCGGGGTGTCTGCATGTGACATGTTAGGTAGATAATGGTGCCGGGGGTGGAGTGAGGACCATGTTGGGGGATATACTCACTAGAAGTTCTCCCTTAGTGTTACCATAGATTTCTACTGAACATCACGTAAAAAGGTGCTAGAACAAATAGATTTTATAAAAAAAAATTAATTATGGTCTTTCCCCCAACCTTTCAATCAATTCTTTCTCATAGACCTCTATGTTGAGGAACTGATTGACAGGACAGCAGAAGACCCAGGTGGGCTTTCTTGCTCTCGGACTCAGCTATTCCCCCTGAAAATCTTTGTCTTTGTTACTGGTAGAATATAGGAATGGAGTGACTGATGTTACTCAGCTTCAGTGCTCTTATACCGGCAGTAACGCCAGTGTGTTGATGTCATGAAGTATCGCTCTTCTGACGTTCTGTGCGCTTGTGCGATGTTGTTGCGTGACTTTGCACATGCACGCTTTGTTTGAGGCATTGCGCCTCTTGCGTTTGCACATTGCGTTCCACCTACAGCTTTGTTGCTTATTATTTTGGCTCCATGCTCTATTGCCTGCTCCTATTGACTGCCACAATTGGAAATATAGGGTAAGTGGTTATTAATACGAATTGTTTTATTGTATATTGTATATTGTATATTGTATATATATCGCTGCCCCCACTTAGATTGCTCTGAAACTGACCTATTGGTGTTGGTCTTGTTGTGGTGGGTTCTACCTGTCTCTGTCTCTGTGGCTGAGATAATCAATTTGGATGATCTCAGCCAATCCAATGCTTTCCCACAGGAAAGAATTGAGGAGCTATTGTGCATGCACAGCAAAATGCCACTCTGCGCCAATCAACATCTCCTCATGGAGATGTATTGAATCAATGCACCTCTATGGGGAGTGTTCATAGATGCTGCACTGACCCAGGAAGCAGCTCTAGTGGCCGTCTGAGTGACGGCCACTAGAGGTGTAACTACGGTAATCTAAACATTGTGTTTGCATTGAAAAGCCTGCAGGTACAGGCTATAGACACCAGAACCACTTCATTAAGCTGTATGCTATACATTAAGCTGTAGTGGTTCTGGTGAGTACAGTCAGCACTACATTTAAGGTCAAAACATTACTTTGTGCGATATGATGAAATAAAACTGCATTATATTTGAACCCAGTGAGTGCCTTTGGATGTGCTGTATCTAGGGGAATCGCTGGCCCTGGTCAAGTTAAGCACTCTGTGGTTCCTTGGATGAGTCTTTTTTTTTTTTTTTTTAATATACTATAAACTAAGTGACAGAGCGGCTGTAGCATTAACCAGGCAGAGAATCTTGTTCCAGGCTCGCTAATGATACTGCTGTATCTGGCCCTACACCTCAAATAGCCTCTATATATATTGTTTCATACTGAATCATTGTACCTCTAGACTGCTTACACCATCACCACTTCAAATCAGTGCTCGGAGGGACTCTTTAAATACACAATTTATTACTATAATAAGTTGTTTATTTAAAGCATAAGGAGATTTTATTAGTTAACGTAACCCTGTCATGACAGGTTCACTTTCCCCCAAAAAATCCTAAATGACCAATATTTACCAAATGTAGGCTTAATTTGATAAATTTTGAAAATAGTTTCCCATTCATTGAAATGTAATATTTAGTGAGTACGCCCTTTATGTGTGTCTAGGTCACCGTGATAGGTTACCATTACCCATAACGGTCTGACACCGGTTCACGGGCGCTCTGCTGTGTGACAGTGACAACTTTCATCACTGATATGAAGAAATATATGCATTCTGCCTTTCTAGATGGTTTTATGGAATTTTAGAATATATTATCCCGTTTGTAATATATCGGAATAATGCCTATACTGTCCTATGGCTTTTGTTTACACGTTACGTTTTGTAGCTTTTGTAGCTAATTTATTAGTAGGTCTGTTTTTATATGTGTGATTTTTACATCGTCCTTGACTAGTGCTATGATACGCTGGCTTGAATTCTACAGTCTTTATTTCGTCCACAGCCATATATCTTCTTAACATAAAAATAATAAAATCAGAAAGCATTAGTTGTGTGTAGAAAATCATTACCATATCAACTGCGATAATATATTATATAGTATAATGGTAACAAGGAGCTCGGGAGACGTTAAAATAAACAGCAAGACTGGTGGTCAAATGGTTTATAAATGTCTTCAGAGATATTTTTATATAAATATTTTTTGTCAATCTTTTTTTTATTGTGGCATAGATTGAACATGAAATACAGTGGTACAACCATGACATAAACAGGATGAGTCATACTAAGACAACACGCATACGGGGACTGGCGTCCGCATGGAGGCAGGATATACATAACATTAATATTCAGTCAAGGTCACAAAGTGACTCAAAGAAAACAAAATATATGCCTGGGGTAACAATCAACGCTAGACTATAATAGATTCATTGGCTTATATAGGTGCGTTGGAACAAAGACAAAATATATGCCTGGAGGAACAATCTAGACTAAGCAAAAGGCAATTATCTGGCATAGTATAGGTGCTTCATTACAGGCCAGGTGTACAAGATTATGGTACCACTGGATCCACAAAATGATTGGCCCTATAAAGCATAAAATAAATTAAGAACAGATTTAACAGGGTGGTTGGATGGAGTGTGGTTGGCCTTTGGGCAGACTTCAAAGCAATAAAACATAATATATACTTGGAGTAAGAACCAAGGCTAGGTAATGGTACATTAGCCAGCATTGTGTATGTGCATCCTATCAAGCTATACAAACATAATACCACTGAAGCTTCACGTTATTGCATAGTAACATATCAGAAAATAAAAGTGCTGTCACAGCAAGATAAAAGTAAAATAAGGGGGGCGAGCTGGGCCGCCATGGCGTATGGCCGCATGTCAGAAGTGCTCCTGAAGGTTCTGGCCTCTACTTGACGACTTTCACACTGTTACACTTACCTTGAGCTAGAATCCTCAAGTCTACTATGCAGGCAGCTTCTGGGGCTACGAGAGTTTTATGCCCCCGAGGGGGGTAACGCTCTGATTGGCTGGAGATCGCGAGACACTTCAGTCTGCAGCTCACACCCGGCGAAGCTGCAGACTGAAGGCTGGCTCTCCCCCAGGGCAGACCGAGCGGAGGGGCTTCGCACCCAGCGGCATAATGGGCAAGCTGCCGGGCCCCCTCATGTGTCGGGTCCTTGGTTATAGACCGAGAACCCGACAGTTTAGTCTGCCCTAAGGTGATTCAGGCGGCCGCGAGGCCCCTGACAGTGCGAGGACCGCCTCTGAATTCCAAGCACTGTGTCTCTTTTCTTGCTATAATTGTTAAAAATTTGCATTATTAATGCTATGCCACACAATTGTGCTACTATGTCTTTTGAATTGCTTTCTATAGCTGTTGTGGCTCTGCAAGTATGTTTGTAACTACATGCACAACAAAAATAAAGAATAATAAAAAAAATAGTAAAATAAAAGGAAAATGGAGATCAATATGAGCAGTAGCGAGCAAAAAAACAAATATACAATTGGATGCTGGTTAGCATGTAGTAGGCTTTTGGGTAGGCAAATAAATGAGTCAGATTTCTGGCTAGCAGGGAGCTTGGGTTGTTAAGTCACGAGTCAGCCAATGCCCTGTGTCTGTGGCAGGAGAAATAGTTGAGCGGTGTTGTGTGACAGGGTCTGAGCAAGACAACTCCCCAGCCCCAGGCCATCATGAAGGCCTGCACCCTGAGATCACGAACTTGGGAGCTTGATGGGGAGTCCAGGTTCTTCCCCTTTGGGGGGTGGCAGAGGCTCCTGATGGATGTCGATGCCTGCGGAAATGGCTCTTTTGCGCCGGTGGTCAATGCATCGGAATATAATCCCTGTTATTCGTCAGTCCAGGTAGGCCATGGGTGGGAGACTGAAGCGCTGGTGTGGAGGAAGTGCCCAGGGGGGACCCGCTTACCTCCTGTCTCTCCTCTTTCAATTCTCTCTCTCCAACTGGAACCAGTATCACCTCAAGATGAGCAGATAGTTTGGCCCAGAAGGATCCTCGTAAGCTCTTGTACACAAGGTTGCTGCACGTCTACAATCTTAACGTAAACCGTAATGCCCAAGGCTATTGCTGGTGCAGGTGCTTGGGTTTAGCAGAGGTTAGTGAGGCTCACCAGTGGGTACCGGGATAAATCCCACCGGACAAAGGGGGAGGGGGGAACAGCTATATACTCATCTCACTGCGATGATCAGAGGGCTGAGAGAGCGGCTGTCTCTCCTCAGCTCAAACTCGAGTAGGCCGCAAGCCCTGGTCCGGGTGATCCAGTTCTGTAACAGGCTTGTGTAAGGTATCCCCAGGTGCACCGACGGCGGCATAGCAGGGTAAGTACTAACTGAGGTCAGAATGTATATGTAGCCCCCTGCTAGACCCATTTTTTCCGGTACCAGTGTGAGTGTACTATACGGTTAAAGGACCACTATAGTGCCAAGAAAACATACTCGTTTTCCTGGCACTAGAGTGCCCTGAGGGTGCCCCCACCCTCAGGGACCCCCTCCCGCCCGGCTTTGGAAAGGGGAAAGGGGTTTAAACTTACCTTTTTCCAGCGCTGGGCGGAGAGCTCTCCTCCTTCTCTCCTCCTCCGTTCCTCCTCCTGGGCTGAATGCGCACGCGCGGCAAGAGCTGCGCGCGCATTCAGCCCGTCGCATAGGAAAGCATTTGCAATGCTTTCCTATGGACGCTTGCGTGCTCTCACTGTGAAAATCACAGTGAGAAGCACGCAAGCGCCTCTAGTGGCTGTCAATGAGACGGCCACTAGAGGATTAGGGGGAAGGCTTAACCCATTAATAAACATAGCAGTTTCTCTGAAACTGCTATGTTTATTAAAAAATGGGTTAACCCTAGCTGGACCTGGCACCCAGACCACTTCATTAAGCTGAAGTGGTCTGGGTGCCTAGAGTGGTCCTTTAATGGTGTTAGGGTTGTGTAGGAGCTCAAGGTTAGTGTGAGTGTAGGGTTGGAAAAACCATAATAATAATACCATAATTACAGGGCCAGTGCAAGGATTTTTGCTACCCTAGGCAAAAAAAAATTGCCCCTCCATTTGCTTCATACACTCATGCAGACTGACATACACTGACCCATGCAGACTGATGCACACGCACTGACACACACAGACTGACGCACACACTGACCCATGCAGACTGACATACACTCAGTTATGAATGCAGACTGACGCGCACACACACTGTCTCTTGCAGACACACATACTGGCCCATGCAGACACATACACTGACACACACTGATACATGCAGACACATGCACTGATACATGCAGACACAAGCTGACCCATGCCAACACACACTGACCCATGTCGACACACACTGACCCATGCCGACACACACTGACCCATGTCGACACACACTAACTCATGCCCACACACACTGACCCATGCAGACACACACTGACCCATGCAGACACACACTGACGCATGCAGACACACACTGACCCATACAGACACACACACTGACCCATACAGACTGACATACAGAAACTCTTCACAAATACACATTCCCTATTAACCCACTTACCTTTCTTAATATTTGACTGCTTGTCATGTGTTCCTGGCCGCTTCCCTGCACCTGGCCGCCTTCACTGCATGTGAGCGAGAAATTGAAGTGCCCTCGTGCTGTTGCGGCAATAGGAGTGCTTCTTGGGGGCCTGGCTGAGCAGGCCGAAGTGGATGCCGCCGGAGCAGTGTTACACCGGGCGCTAGTCAGCAGACATGTAAGTGTCCCTAGCGCCAAGTAACATGGTCGGCGGCACGATTTGTAGAATTATTAAAACATAGAGGGGCAGCCAAATGAGCAGAGCAGTAAAGCTCCTGCTGGCGCCCCCTTTAAGCAGCACCCTAGATGGCCAACCCTATAGAAAGTGCTGGACCTGCATAATTTACAGAATAACTGAAAAACGCATTGCTGAACATGTTTGGGTGGTGGTTTGTCAATATACCGTATATAGTCGAGCATAAGTCGACCCGAATATAAGCCGAGGCACCTAATTTTAGCACAGAAAACTGGGAAAACTTATTGACTCGATGTATAAGCCTAGGGTGGGAAATGCAGCAGCTACTGGTAAATTTCTAAATAAAATTTTTAGATCCCAATAAAATTACATTAATTGGATATTTATTTACAGTGTGTGTATATAATGAATGCAAAATGTGTGTGTTTGTGTGAATGCAGTGTGTGTGTATATAATGAATGCAGAATGTGTGGTTTGTGTGAATGCAGTGTGTGTATATAATGAATGCAGTGTGTGTGTATGAATGCAGTGTGTATATAATGAATGCAGTGTGTGTGTATAATGCAGAGTGTGTGTTTGTGTGAATGCAGAGTGTGTGAGTGTGTAGTGTAGTGTGTGTGTGTGTAAACTGGGTGGGGGAGGGCATTTTTATTATTTTAATATATTTTTTTAAATATTATTTTAATATTTTATTATTATTATTTTAATATTTTATTTATTTGTTTCATTTTATTTTTTAGCCCCCCCTCCCTGCTTGTTATCTGGCCAGGGAGGGGAGCTATCTCATTTCCTGGTGGTCCAGTGGCATGGGCTGTGCCTGAGGGGGGGCCGGGAGCAAGCTGTAACTTACCTTTGTAGCAGCTCCGGTCAGCTCCCCTGTTCAGCTCACAGTGTAAGTCTTGCGGTCTGTATGCCACGTGGAGCGTTGCCACGGTAACTTGTGGCAACACTCTGACGGCCGCGGGTCTCGCGAGAGTTAAACTGTGAGCTGAACGGGGAGCTGACCGGAGCTGCTACAAAGGTAAGTAACAGCTTGCTCCCGGCCCCCCGAGGACCGCTGGGCTTGTAATGAGCCTGGCGGTCCTGGTCTGTATTATGGCAATGTAAGTTGCCATAATACAGACAGCGACTCGAGTATTAGCCGAGGAGGGCTTTTTCAGCACAAAAAATGTGGCGAAAAACTCGGCTTATACTCGAGTATATACGGTACTCAATTCAGCATGTGACGCCAAAAATGAGATGGCTAGGGGGGCCATCACTAAATGTTGTATATTCCAATATATAGATTATTTTTAAAATGTTTATATATATGTGTGTGTGTGTGTATGTGTGTCTGTGTATGTATATATATATATAGATAAGAAAATATGAAAAGCACTCCAGGGACTTCATATAAGGTGAAAAAATAAACTTAGCTTTATTCAGCAACTGCCAAAAGTGATTAACGTTTCAGTCCCATGTCGGGACTTTCGTCAGGATCCTGACGAAAGTCCCGACATGGGACTGAAACGTTGATCACTTTTGGCAGTTGCTGAATAAAGCTAAGTTTATTTTTTCACCTTATATGAAGTCCCTGGAGTGCTTTTCATATTTTCTTATCTATTATTTGTGCCGACAAGCACCGGGCTATACATATTACTGTACTGGAGTGCAAGCATTGGACAATATTATATATATATATAAATATGGAAAATGCTCTTATCAGTGTACTGCAAAAAATATACATCAAATTTATATGATATTGTTATATTTATATTATGTAAATGGTTTCCCCAAATTTCACTCCTTTTTTGGTTTGCTCTCTGACATCCAACATTGGAACTGATATCCATCCGAATTTCTGCTATCCCGAAAACAGTTCTATCTTTGTGAAAAATGTAGGCAACCTTTGGCACTCCAAATGTTGTACACTACATCTCCCATAATGCTCATTGGGAGGTGTAGTTCACAACATATAAAGTGCCAGAGGTTGCCTACCCATGTATTCGGCTGTGCACTCAGAGAAAATGACCACCTAAACTTTTAGGAAAACGTACTATTTTAATAAATACAATATTTTTTCTTTTTCTCGATAGCTTTTTTTTGTCAGTCTTTATTTTGTATATTTTTAGAGAATTGTTCATCGAAATACAATACAAACATTAAAGCAAAATCACAAGGAAGCTGCCAGCGTATGGTGGTGATTGATAAATAGAATAAACACAATAGTACATAAGAGGCCCTCTCCCCAAGGATTAAATACTGCTTTTGGGTTCCAAGGGTGTGATAACCACATTCATACAGAAATAGCCAGGCTTTGTTTTCATAAACAACATAACATGGGAAACAAAGCTCATACAACATTGACCACAGAACGCTTAGCAGGGGACAATGAGAACAAACTGACCGCATTAGGGTGTCTGGGCACATGTGGTACACCCAATTCGCAAATCTATGGCAGGGATTAATAGTTAGAGCGGTAGGGTAGCAGTGTAGGGGTTAATGGTTAGTGATATGGTAGTAGTGTAGGGGTTAATGGTTAGTGATAGAGTAGTGTAGGGGTTAATGGTTAGTGATAGGGCAGTGTAGGGGTTAATGATTAGTGATAGGTTAGTGTTGGGGTTAATGGTTAGTGATAGAGTAGTGTTGGGGTTAATGGTTAGTGATAGGGTAGTGTAGGGGTTAATGGTTAATGATAGGGTAGTAGTGTAGGGGTTAATGGTTAGTGCTAGGGTAGTGTAGGGGTTAATGGTTAGTGATAGGGCAGTGTAGGGGTTAATGATTAGTGATAGGTTAGTGTTGGGGTTAATGGTTAGTGATAGAGTAGTGTTGGGGTTAATGGTTAGTGATAGGGTAGTGTAGGGGTTAATGGTTAATGATAGGGTAGTAGTGTAGGGGTTAATGGTTAGTGCTAGGGTAGTGTAGGGGTTAATGGTTAGTGATAGGGCAGTGTAGGGGTTAATGATTAGTGATAGGTTAGTGTTGGGGTTAATGGTTAGTGATAGAGTAGTGTTGGGGTTAATGGTTAGTGATAGAGTAGTGTAGGGGTTAATGGTTAGTGATAGGGTAGTAGTGTAGGGGTTCATGGTTAGTGATATGGTAGTGTAGGGGTTAATGGTTAGTGCTAGGGTAGTGTAGGGGTTAATGGTTAGTGATAGGTTAGTGTTGGGGTTAATGGTTAGTGATAGGGTAGTAGTGTAGGGGTTAATGGTTAGTGATATGGTAGTAGTGTAGGGGTTAATGGTTAGTGCTAGGGTAGTGTAGGGGTTAATGGTTAGTGATAGGGTAGTGTAGGGGTTAATAGTTAGTGATATGGTAGTGTTGGGTTAATAGTGATAGGGTAGTAGTGTAGGGGTTAATGGTTAGTGATAGGGTAGTGTAGGGGTTAATGATAAGTGATAGGTTAGTGTTGGGGTTAATGGTTAGTGATAGGGTAGTGTAGGGGTTAATGATTAGTGATAGGTTAGTGTTGGGGTTACTGGTTAGTGATATGGTAGTAGTGTAGGGGTTAATGGTTAGTGATAGGGCAGTGTAGGGGTTAATGGTTAGTGATAGGGTAGTGTAGGGGTTAATGGTTAGTGATATGGTAGTGTTGGGTTAATGGTTCGTGATAGGATAGTAGTGTAGGGTTATGGTTAGTATTAGGGTAGTGTAGGGAGGTTATGATAAGTATTAGGTTAGTGTGTTGGGGTTAATGGTTAGTGATAGGGTAGTGTAGGGGTTAATGATTAGTGATAGGTTAGTGTTGGGGTTACTGGTTAGTGATAGGGTAGTAGTGTAGGGGTTAATGGTTAGTGATAGAGTAGTGTAGGGGTTAATGGTTAGTGATAGGGCAGTGTAGGGGTTAATGATTAGTGATAGGTTAGTGTTGGGGTTAATGGTTGGTGATAGAGTAGTGTTTGGGTTAATGGTTAGTGATAGGGTAGTGTAGGGGTTAATGGTAATGATAGAGTAGTAGTGTAGGGGTTAATGGTTAGTGCTAGGGTAGTGTAGGGGTTAATGATAAGTGATAGGTTAGTGTTGGGGTTAATGGTTAGTGATTGGGTAGTGTAGGGGTTAATGATTAGTGATAGGTTCGTGTTGAGGTTACTGGTTAGTGATATGGTAGTAGTGTAGGGGTTAATGGTTAGTGATAGGGCAGTGTAGGGGTTAATGCATAGTGATAGGGTAGTGTAGGGGTTAATGGTTAGTGATATGGGAGTGTTGGGTTAATGGTTCGTGATAGGGTAGTAGTGTAGGGGTTAATGGTTAGTGATAGGGTAGTGTAGGGGTTAATGATAAGTGAAAGGTTAGTGTTGGGGTTAATGATTAGTGATAGGGTAGTGTAGGGCTTAATGATTAGTGATAGGTTAGTGTTGGGGTTACTGGTTAGTGACAGGGTAGTAGTGTAGGGGTTAACGGTTAGTGATAGGGGAGTGTAGGGGTTAATGGTTAGTGATAGGGCAGTGTAGGGGTTAATGATTAGTGATAGGTTAGTAGTGTAGGGGTTAACGGTTAGTGATGGGGGAGTGTAGGGGTTAATGCTTAGTGATATGGTAGTGTTGGGTTACTGGTTAGTGATAGGGTAGTAGTGTATGCGTTAATGGTTAGTGATAGGTTAGTGTTGGGGTTAATAGTTAGTGATAGGGTAGTAGTGTAGGGGTTAATGGTTAGTGATAGGGTAGTGTAGGGGTTAATGATTAGTGATAGGTTAGTGTTGGGGTTAATGGTTAGTGATATGGTAGTAGTGTGGGGTTAATGGATAGTGATAGGGTAGTGTTGGGGTTATTGGCTAGTGTTAGGGTAGTGTAGCGTGTTAGTAGTGTTAGTTTAGTGAAGTTATTATTGGTTAGTATTAGTGAAAAATAGTAGTTAATAGTGTTAGTTTAGTGTAGGTGTTAATAGTTAGTATTAGTGAAGTATAGCAGTTAGTAGTGTTAGTTTGGTGTAGGTATTATTGGTTAATATTAGTCACGTATTGCAGTTAGTAGTGTTAGTTTAGTGTAAGTATTATTGGCTAGTAATAGTGAAGTATAGTGGTTAGTAGTGTTATTTTAGTGTAGGTATTATTGGTTAATATTAGTGAAGTATAGCGATTGGTAGTGATAGTTTAGTGTAGGTATTATTGGATTATATTAATGAAGTGTAGTGATTAGTAGTGTTAGTTTAGTGTAGGTATTAGTGGTTAGTATTAGTGAAGTATAGGTATTATTGGTTAATATTAGTGAAGTATAGTGGCTAATAGTTTTAGTTTAGTGCAGGTATTATTGGTTAGTATTAGTGAAGAATAGGAGTTAGTAGTGTTAGTTAAGTGTAGGTATTACTAGTTAGTATTAGTGAAGTATAGGTATTATTGGTTAATATTAGTGAAGTATACTGGTTAATAGTTTTAGTTTAGTGTAGGTATTATTGGCTAGTAATAGTGAAGTATAGTGGCTAGTGGTGTTATTTTAGTGTAGGTATTATTGGTTAATATTAGTGAAGTATAGTGGTTAATAGTGTTAGTTTAGTGTAAGTATTATTGGCTAGTAAAAGTGAATCTGTTGGCGCTATATAAATGGCAATAATAATAAGTATAGTGGTTAGTAGTGTTAGTTTAGTGTAGGTATTATTGGTTAATATTAGTGAAGTATATCGATTGGTAGTGTTAGTTTAGTGTAGGTATTATTGGATTATATTAATGAAGTGTAGCGATTAGTAGTGTTAGTTTAGTGTAGGTATTATTGGTTAATATTAGTGAAGTGTAGCGATTAATAGTGTTAGTTTAGTGTGGGTATTATTGGTTAGTATTAGTGAAGTATATGTATTATAGGTTAATATTAGTGAAGTATAGTGGTTAATAGTTTTAGTTTAGTGTAGGTATTATTGGTTAGTATTAGTAAAGTGTAGCGGTTAGTAGTGTTAGTTTAGTGTAGGTATTATTGGTTAGTATTACTAAAGTATAGCGATTAGTAGTGTTAGTTTAGTGTAGGTATTGTTGGTTAGTATTAGTGAAGTATAGCAGTTAGTAGTGTTAGTTTAGTGTAGGTATTATTGGTTAGTATTAGTGAAGAATAGTAGTTAGTAGTGTTAGTTTAGTGTAGGTATTATTAGTAAGTATTAGTGAAGTATAGTTATTATTGGTTAATATTAGTGAAGTATAGTGGTTAATAGTTTTAGTTTAGTGTAGGTATTATTGGTTAGTATTAGTGAAGTGTAGCGGTTACTAGTGTTAGTTTAGTGTAGGTATTATTAGTTAGTATTATGAAGTATAGGTATTATTGGTTAATATTAGTGAAGTATAGTGGTTAATATTTTTAGTTTAGTGTAGGTATTATTAGTTAGTATTAGTGAAGTATAGGTATTATTGGTTAATATTAGTGAAGTATAGTGGTTAATAGTGTTAGTTTAGTGTAGGTATTATTGGATTATATTAATGAAGTGTAGCGATTAGTAGTGTTAGTTTAGTGTAGGTATTATTGGTTAATATTAGTGAAGTGTAGCGATTAATAGTGTTAGTTTAGTGTGGGTATTATTGGTTAGTATTAGTGAAGTATATGTATTATGGGTTAATATTAGTGAAGTGTAGCGATTAATAGTGTTAGTTTAGTGTGGGTATTATTGGTTAGTAGTAGTGAAGTATATGTATTATGGGTTAATATTAGTGAAGTGTAGCGATTAGTAGTGTTAGTTTAGTGTAGGTATTATTGGTTAGTATTAGTAAAGTGTAGCGGTTAGTAGTGTTAGTTTAGTGTAGGTATTATTGGTTAGTATTAGTGAAGAATAGTAGTTAGTAGTGTTAGTTTAGTGTAGGTATTATTGGATAGTATTACTAAAGTATAGCGATTAGTAGTGTTAGTTTAGTGTAGGTATTGTTGGTTAGTATTAGTGAAGTATAGCGGTTAGTAGTGTTAGTTTAGTGTAGGTATTATTGGTTAGTATTAGTGAAGAATAGGAGTTAGTAGTGTTAGTTTAGTGTAGGTATTATTAGTTAGTATTAGTGAAGTATAGGTATTATTGGTTAATATTAGTGAAGTATAGTGGTTAATAGTTTTAGTTTAGTGTAGGTATTATTGGCTAGTAATAGTGAAGTATA